TGGTTATTTACAAAAATATTGTGAAAAAACAATTTTCGAATATATCGCGTTCTGATTGGCTTTCTAAAACGAATCGTGGACTGTTCAATGCAAGCAGATGTTGCGGACGTGTGTTGTATTAACCGTATTACACGAAATTCTTTTGTGCCGGTATTTTGTAATAGCGAACGCAATGTATTAGCGGAAACGTACAATACATAAATTCACAATTCTTTAACATCATTATTGTTTGTCAAAGATTCGTCTACACAAATCGCGAAAATGATATCCGTCATCAAGAGATTGAATCCTGTAATTCTCGCGGAGATAAATATTTACACGACTAAAAATCGCGCTGATAGCTGTGTGACCCGTAATTGACCACAGTATACACATGAATACTTCCGCACACGTTGGAAAAAAATGGAAGGGAAAAAATATACAGTGTAAAACAAATTTTCAAAATTGACAGTTTTGTCATGTTATGCAAGACTAGTTGCACGCGGATACAATTTTTCACGGTTTTCTATGACAAACGCGAATAAGATAAATCGTCTCTTATTTAACTCGATATATTTTTCAAAAAATTTCACCATGACTGCTTGCAGTCAGTGATGTAAATATCGGCGTATTCACGCATCTCTATATCGTATTAATAATACTATTATTGCATCGTGTTAAGCTTTATAAAAGAAAATCCAAATATTGAATTTTTAATTTACTTACGATATTAATTAGTAATTTTATATTAATGAATTATTTCATGAAACAATAAGATGGAAATAATTATGTGCTCGCAATTTCCGACGAGATTCGCGTTAAAGTATGGACTTTAACAATGCGGCTTTACAATGATGCGGATCTGAAAGAATCGCGCTCTTTCAGCTGCGTCCTTTGACTTAACGCGCGCCGCGCCGAAGTAAGACAGTGATTTTCCGGAGCGATAACCGTGATTTTTCCAAGACGCGGCCATCGCTCGACAAGCGCGAAGTCGGTTGAACGACCGGTAGACACCTTTTGATGTCGAATCACTCTTCCTTCACCGTCACTCGTCCCTTTGCCCCGCTCGCTCGCGGCGAACCCGGGGCTGAAAGGTTCGTAGGGCGCAGCGCGGCGCGGCGCGACGCGAACACACTCGGCTGCCGCATACACTTTATTCCCAACCCATCGTTCCATCCCAGCGATTTCGAATTCCCGAACAAATTTGATCGTCGTCGTCGCCGTCGTAGTCGTCGTCTAGTCGAGCTCGCATCTCTACGTGACGGGAAAATCGCGAGCTTGCTCGCGCATCGGAAAGCCACTTCTCTCCTTTCTCCCTTCACCCCCCCCCCTCTCTCTCACTCTATCTCTTTCTTCGCATCATCTTTCTCGTACCGATATATAAACCGTCATCTGCCTCTTCCATCTCCGTCTCTTTTCCCCGCTCCTCTTCCTTTCGCTCGTCTGCCTCCTCTTCTCTCGTATTTTCCTATTTCTCGCGCTTCGTGGTTCTACTTTCGCACGCGCGATTGTGCCCTGACGAGTTTATGGCGGGTACCCTCGGCGGAATCCCAAACGCGGCACGTACGCGAAGTTACCGACTCGAGCGCAGCTCGAGACCGTTTGAGAAGACGCGAGAAAGCGCACGAGACGGCTTCTCGGTTCATTCAACGGGCAATCTCGCATAGTGCGACATCATTTTACGGCCAATGATAGCACTAGCAGCTTTTCCAGATTTGCGGTATGATATAATATAGATGGTTTGTTTGAGTCGCGGCAGTTTTATGTAAGAAATATTATGTAAAAGTTAATTTAAAATACGTCGTGCTTATTTGAACAAAAATATAAGAGAATATAAATATATAGGCTCAAAAACATATCTAAAAACCTTCGTCAATTTAACATTTCTCTTAATAATTTGCGAGTAATTAAAATAAAAATATCTTCAATCAGTGATTAATATTTCTTCCTACATTCTTTATTAAACAGAAAAGTGAATCAAATAAATTATACGTGTACATTGACAAAAGTCCAGATATATTTCTGAATATATTTAAATTATCTTGCAATGTTGCTGTTTGATTATTATTATCGCAGAAATTATTTCTTTCTCAAAACTTACAGTTTTTATCTGAAATGTATTTGAATTCTCCCTTTAAGGGAGAATTGCTCGACTGATTAAAACTTCAAAAATCTAAGATTTGAAGGTATAAAGTATACGCGAGGCGGTCGATCGAAGACTGACGCGAAAAATTCGCAAGCAGATTTAACACGCAATAACATGCTACAGTGAGTAATTAACGCGGCATATCCGCGGCGTTGATTAAATTTCACGCGTCGGAAGCAAATTCATAAATATCCGCAGCTGCGTCATTTCCGACAAAGGCGGCTGCAACTTATGACGATATAGCGAAAGAAAATTAATGACTACAAAAGATTACTCTCCGGGACTTCGCGGCTGTCCGATGAAATATCATAAATCGCGGGCTCTCGCTACGTCTGAAAAGTTTTCATAGCCGACCGCGTCTATCTCCTTCTCCCTTTCTCTCTTCCTCCCGCTCATTCCTCGTCTCTCTCGATTCCTCCTCCTTTCCTCGTCTCATTCTCATTACGAAGTTCCCGGTCATCAAATTTTATTAGCCCCCACTTCAGGGCCGGTCCGCCTTACTTCTAACTCAATATCGTAGATTCGTAGTCTCGGTTTAACTACCCTCTCACCCTCCCTCAGCGCAACGCACACGGAAGCGCGCCGTTCCGCACACACTTACATACATCGGCACAACTGCTCTTTCTCTTTCTCCTCCTGTTCTCATTGCCTTCTTTCTCCCCTCGTACTCTCTCTCCAACACACACGTGCTCTCCTTCTCGCATCTCTCGCCCGTCCTCGAACGTAAGCGCGGCGAGCGACTTTGAAAGCGGCAATAATTCCGTGCTCTACGGCCGAGAACTAATTTCCACCGGCTCTGACAGGGTATACTGCTGAACGGGGTGGAGGGCAGGTAGGCGAAGACGAAGGGTGGCCTCACCTTCGGAGCCTCTCTTTCCGACTCGCTTCCAACACGGACAATTCGTTTTCTCGCGGCGCCCTTTTATCGCCCGACAATGGTCCGCCGGGGTGCAGCCACCTCGGTTCTACGTGGTCAAGGGTCGCAACCAATAAACTCTGCCAGTAGGAGCTACGTGCCGGTCAAATTCGCAGAAAAGACGGCCGAGGCGGAAAGAAAGAAAGAAAGACGTGGAGGACAAGAGAGGCTTTTCCGAGCGACGCGAGCGCCGGTTTCCGCTTCGCGACCTTTAATTGCGACGGCTGGAATTGGGACTAACGACTTTCTTTCGGTGGCGTTTAAAAGCTGCCAGAGAGAGGCTGCGGACGCTGTGACGTTTACCGGACGTGATATCGTGACCCGAGCCGCGTCTGCGTTTTACCGCGTCGGAAGGACTGACGTTGGCACGGTCCGGAAACGCCGTCGGAAAACGAACAAGGCATAGAATACTAGCAATCAATGCGAAATTGCGGAGCTGTCAAGCGGAACTCGAACTGCTGCGGAATATATTGCACTTTTTGAAAAATATTCCGTGTCACGAAATGCGTGACATATTGGGTCACTAACAGGGTTTCCGCTCTATTTTATAACGCCACTTCTCGTTAAAATGTGTTTTTTTTTTCTCATTAATGAAAAATTCGTCCATTGATGCGAGACAATTATTTTAAAAAGGTTTCCCAAATGTAATTTAGTTGCAGCTCAAAAAAAAAGAAGAGTAAGGAGCAGCTTGGTTCAACCTCGCAGCAGATGAAAATTAAGCTCATCAGAGTTGCGAAGAAGTTAAACTATCGCGAGGTCCGAATAATGACTGTAGTAATCGGCGAGATAGCAATCTGAAGTTCGTTATCGCCGTGCATTACATTCGGTCGGCGGGACTATTGCGGGGAAATAGAAGTTACAGAAAGCTAGTAAAGCTATAAAATTAAATCCGCAGCGAGGAGATAAAAGGCGGAGGAAACACTTCCGAGAGAGGTCGAAACTTTCCGCTCCGTATCGCTCAACAGTCTGGCCAACTTGTGGCTCGAATTCCAATTAACGATCTTCATGAGTAGGAATTATTATCTCCATTTCGAAGGTTTCACTCGACACGAAGGTTTCTCCCTACGTCCGGAAACGCGTATGCTTCCTCTTAATTACATACCGTCGTGCAAGCTCGCAAGCGGAACAAATCCGCCTAAAGAGATCGGGAAATCGGCAAATTGAATGATGAAGACGATACAGAAATTAATGGCGCTTTAGTTACGGGTCGCGCAACATACTCGGCGATCGCGAAAAAGCCGCTTAATCCTCTTACGTCTTTGCGTTCCGCGCTGACCGGCTCTTTGAAAGGTTCGCCCGGTAAGCCCTTAAACCCATCTCGGGGCTGCAATTCCAGACCAATTTCGAGAAAATTCAATCGTGAAATATACAGCGTGGCCAACGCCATGCTGGCGAACCAACAGAAACAATCGTGGTTCGAACTTCCCGTCTTGCATCGCGTCGTGAAACAAATTAGAAGCTGAACAATTGTCAATTTGACTGCAAAAGCTCACCGGCTCATTAATAATTAAGTGCAATTGTAATTTCGTAATTGTGATTTCGTAAATATATTCTATATATATATAAAAAAATTAATTTTAATGCACGCAGAAGTCTGTCAATATTTCCTACATCAATGAACATTTTTAGTCCATTTTTTAATCTTTACTATGCTGAATGCTGAAAATGTCGATTTTTAGTTTCAAAGAATTTTATATTAATTACTCTCAAATTATTAAAAAGAGAAATTTAGAAAAATAGAGGAGAAAAATATCAAAACATAAAAGAAATCAATTTTGCACCGTCAACTTTGTGAATATCAAAACTTTTACATTTTTTTTATTTAATCTAAAATATTTATATTTTATGTAAAATTACTCATGAGAGTAAAAATGATAAATTATGATTTTTTTTAAGTCAAAAATGGTCTAAAAATGCAAAAATGAATTAAACTCCCGATTAGAAATGAAAAAAACTCACTTTTTGTTGTTGCGTTTGCGCGGGTTCTGTGGCGAGTAGTTGCTTCAAGGCAGCATGCCCGTGACCATTTGTCGTGGAGGTCGCACCGGGCGTGCTCGGTGTGCTGGGATTACTTCCGGGTGTGTTAGGCGTATGAGGCCCGGTCGGAGGACTGCTAGGACTGATGCTCTCATTAACTTTGCTACCAGCGTGATGATTTTCTGTGTGCCTTCTCAGGCTCCTCGCGTCGCAATAAGATTTGCCGCATCCTTCGGCCTTGCACTCATACGGCTTTTTATTCCGATGTGTCAGCATATGTCCATTCCTGTAATCAGAAAATCAACCACATTTTTTCATTAGTTTCAGAAAAATAGGTTTGCCATGTTTAAGAATGTAAATTTACTGTTCTTATTTTAGAATTTTAAATCTTTAGTAAGAAAAATGTATATTTTTAAAGTACTAGAACATAATATTGTGCGCGTGCTATTTACTGTAAAAAATATCAAATATAATATAAAAAGAAAATACAACTGATTAATATAAAATTAAAAATTTACATTTAATCGTATTTAATTCCATAATATCCTTACGTTAATAATTATATATTTGTAAATTTTCGGCAAATATTGGCAATACAAGAAATTAATTATTAAATTTAAGTGAGGACATTTCTTTATAAAATAATTTCTTTATAATAAATAATCAACTTTATAATAAATAATCAATATTAATTGATTAATATGCTAGACCATTTCTTTGTTTAAAATATAAGATTTTAATGCATTGTACTAAAGAAAACACATTCTGAAGTTCTAAATCTATCAAATAATATAATGTAAAATTCTAAAGTATAAAAAATGAATAAAACATACATTTAGCATTAATATACATCTTATTCATTTTTATGCTTTAAAACTTATATCACATTTAGCAGGTCTAGAACTTTACTGCGATGCACTAAAACCTTATACTTTAAAGAAAGAAATGAATAAGATATACATTTTTTCATTTTTATGCTGCAGAATCTTGTATCACATTACTTGGTAAGAATCTAAACCATAAAAATGAATAAAATGTACAGTTTAACATTCTAGACCACTTCTTTGCTTAAAATATAAGATTTTAATGCACATATACAATATACACATTGCTTCAATCACATAAAAATTCCAATTATGTCGATTATATTTGCTATAGTTTGATTTTCAGGAATTTAACTTTTCAAACCCATCATCTTCACGAATAGAGAAATCGCTTGCTGGCATTTCAACCGGAATATAAATCGACCATAACATTTCAGTCAGGAAATATCACGGCGGTTGATATATTCCTCCGGTATCCCTCGCGCTCCCATTCGAATTCCTCTCACATCCAGCATTAATCATAAGGACGTCTCGAGCGACACGCTGTATATAGCGCTCGCGGATGCTCGTTGGGCGCGCAGAAATCTGATCATACACCTGCTCTTTAGTGCCCGCCCGAAATTATGTCGACCCGATTATGCCGGCTATCTATATCTACCTACGATCTACCCCGGCTACGGAAATCCCATATACCGCCGGGCATGATTTCCCCCTCCCACTCTGGTCTTATCTGGGATGAAACATCTAAACTCGTCCCCAGCGTGCTGCTGCCCTTACGTCCTTACGTCGGTCCGCCTAAAGACTTATCCACTCCATTTGCCCGATATTCCAGCTGACATCGACGGGAGGCAAAACGTGCACTTAACGCGTTTATGGATGGTGGGGAGGAAAAGGGGGGAGACTTGAAAGATTTCCTCCTACTCCGTTCTTCTTCGCTCGAGATGTTCTGGAAATGAGACCCGGCCGTTCTCTGTATGTTGCCGAAGAGCGTTAGAAAAAGCCGTGGAAATCCGAGGGCGCGTTTCCTGCGTGCAACAAGTTGCGCAATTTCGCGATGCTGGATTACGCGATCGCGCTACTTGATAAAATTCATGATCCCGCTGATGCGATTCGCTGTCGATTTCACTGTTGATACTTGCAATCGCGGGATTATCAATCGACTTGATAAGTAAAATAACGGTATGCGCAGTGTCTCGATTAAAGATACAATATTATCTATCACGCAATTGCGATTAGACTGCCCCTCCCTTACTTCTATTAATTTTACCATATAAATGTGTCATGCAAAAGATAGAAATAAAGTAAAGATTAAACCAATTTTTTTAATATAAAAAAATATTAAGAGAGGAAATTACCATTTCCTTTAAATTGAGTTAAAATTTCTTTGATATAACAAAACTACGCTTCTCGATCGTTAAAAATCTAAGGTTAAATGACGGTTAATTACTAATATTTCTACCCTACAATGTTATCTCAAACATGTTAAGTTTCTTCGCCGCGCTCGAAAGGAATTGTCCCTTCCGTTCTTTGAAACTTTAACGAGATTCCGAGCGTGGACATCCTTCGTCGGATCCTTCGCAATAGAACCGTCCGCAGTGGATTGCAAAGAAGTCGTACGGATACGGCGGTCTCGATGGAAGGGATATCGTTTCCAGTAAATTTTCCGGTAGACGCGGGGGCACTCGTTATCCGGGAGCGAAGTTTTATAGTCTATCGATATACGAACGGATTCCCTTAAATTCCACCGGTAAAGTTGCTGCCGTGGGGAGGGTTTAATTTGTAAAAGCTAATTTGTCGAACTTTTAAGGTGACCCGTGTCCCGAGGCTGCCGGCGTTTCCCTTGCGGGAGATAATCAGGAACACCTGGGACGTGTCGACCGCACGTGCATCGTCGTTTCTTTTTGCTTCTGTTTTCGGAGAGACGCGAGAAAAAGGAAGCGAGAGAAAACGTGAACCCAGGATCTACCCTTGGCTTTTACAGGAACAGTCGCTTCCACTGATCAATCAACGAGTTCTATTAGAACAGTTTCACTTAACACGTGCCGTAAAAAAAACTGATAAAACCATCAAATAAATCAAACCGACAAAATAAAAATCTTCTCATGATCTGTCTTTTTATTTAGTATAAATTTTGTATCGTGGAATAAAAAGGCGTAGCTTATCGCAAATTTAATTATAAATTACCAGTAACAGCGATAAAATATTTTAGATAGCAAAAATATTAAACAAATAAGTAAAACAAATAGAATAATAAAATAAGAAAGAGGATAAAGTAAATTCGATAGCTGTATTTGTTTTACAAAAATAAAAGTATCTGCCTCTCTGCTGCCTGGTATAAGAATTAAACAATGGTCACGCGAGCGTTATAGCGACGTATCGTTTCGCAGTTTGTAGTTTCGTTCACCGTTGTGTTTTTATTTAATCGGCAAAGAAAATATTTCATCGTACGTAGCGACGATAACGGATATGCGCTTGTAAAAATGATGAAGAAAATACCGTCATTCAAAAACCCGTAATTTCAGCAGCGACTTTACTTTCTAGAATTGTAGCAAGGCTCGCATCTCATTCGCGTCTTACTTCGCAACACGATGATATGGCGGTAAAAGGAAAATTGTTATTAATTATTATTAACTTGCGCCGACAACGAGAATTTCTATGAAACTTTAATTGGATCGCGCAAAAGGCCGCGTCGACGCGCAGAATTTTGCCCGGAGAACGGAGATTAAATCAGCACTAATTATCAACTCTCGATTAGTTCTGCCTGATCCTCCCTGCCTGCTGGCCTAACGAGACTACTAACAAAGTAGCCTACTTGCTCTTTTTTTTATATCCCTTCCTTTCACTCTCTCATTACAAAAGTTAAAGTTGAGGATCATTCTTAACTCCCAATTATTAGCCAATCTGATTTCAGCGTAGATAAAATCAGAATTTTATAAATAAAATAATACATCACATAAATTACTACTCAAAAGTTTGGAGCTTAAAGTTTTTAAACAAATTAATATTTTTTTACAGATGCAATTATTTGTGAGTATTGTTGTTGAATATATCAACGTAAGCTTCTAAGAATATTTGTATAAAATATGTAATCACCATAAAAGACTTCTACATATTTACAATGCTAATAAAAAATTAATTAGTTTTCTATTTGCAAAAAAAGTCTTTTCTTCGACTTGCCATCTTGATATTTCAGTGATCAATTATTAAATATTTCTGCTTCAATATCATACTAAGTAATGCAAATTCTAAATAAATATTGACATTCTCACTAAGATAATTCGTATCAAATTTTATTTACAGATTACAAAATGCTACAAACTTTTAAAGAAAAGTATATTTTAAGAAAGATAAACAACATACACATTTTCAGTTTAGAAACTTTTAGAACTGCCAAGAAAGAAATTTATTCGCTTTGTTCTGTTTGTTCACTTTCTATACAAGTTGGTAGCAGAAACTCCTTGATATGACGAGGGCCACGAGGAAGCAATTATCGAAATATCGAACGCATTCTGAAAAATAAAGCTCCCGATGACGCTACAAACCGAGGGAAGAAGTTTTTCCTTCTTCGCTGCTCGCGTTGTCGCTCCTCTCTTTAGTTCCCGTCGTCGCAAATCCCTTTCGGGCAAAGAAGAAGCGGCCGGTCTCCCGGTATATACCTCTGCGCGTTCGAAGAAAAGCTCTCGAAGAGAATTCCTCTTGAGGTGTAAGCGCTTCCGTTCCTTATTTCGCGCGGCGGCGCACCCCGACTCAGCAAAGGGACTACGTGGATTTACTTCGATAACAGAGATACACCGAGAGAGACGTACAATAGAGTCTTGTTCGATATCGAAGAAATCGACAAAGCTATCGTTCTGGAAGTCCGTTAGATTTTCGGGGATGCGACAGAGAGAACAACAAAGCGTCTGTACCTTTTGTCTTTCGATTAATCTTGAAGACTTACGACTTTAACAAGCGTTGATTATCGCGATTTGGTATTATCATTATAAAAACGGCAAATCTATTCTTAAATACAATAAATTCCACATATATAGTTTGATTTATATTGTAAAATTTTAGCTATAATTTTAGCGTTTAAAATCGAAACATTAATTAAAATGACTTAAAGAGGATAACAAATATTTGTCATTACGAACTGAAATATAATAGAATCTCTCTAAAGAATAAAATATAAGATATCTGTTCTACTTTTCTTTGAAACAACAAGGCTTAAAATATATCAAAGTATGGGAAGTTGCCAAAGTGGCAAGAGAGGTATCTCACAAAACTTACAATGACATTTGGATCGGTAAAGAATTTGAGAAGTGGTGAGTTCGCTCGTATCGATCGAAAAGTCTATTGGTTTCGACGAACGAGATCAGAGACGCGTACTATCATCTTCGTTTCCTTTCTGTTGTCTTCGAAAGCCAAACTTTAATCAACAAACTTAAAAACTTTCGTTTGTTTCTAGCAAACTAAATTTCTAATCGCAGCTCGAATGTTATTATTTGATGTACAATTACATAAATTTTTTCACTCAAATTTTATCTAAATAAAAAGATTAATAACAGTAAATATTATTAATAATAGTGAATAATATTAGGCGTTAAAGACCAAATATCCTTTTTTTTAATTTCCTTCAAAATAACGATCTCTAATAATTTTCAGTATGTGTGCATTACCTTTAGAAATCTGGAAAAATTGTAAGTAACGGTTACTCGATGAGAAATCTACAATGGGGGACCCATTTTCAGAAAGCAGATGAGACGATGGAAACTGTAGTTGCATGGGTCTGCCAATTCTTAGGAAAAGAATGGAAGCACGGCGAGACTTCGTACCGACTTTTTCTCGTTCTCAATTAAGTTTGAAAGTCCATTCAAACGGTGAATGGAGCCGAAAGATCTCTTCCTTCGCTTCCGTAAAATCTTTGCCCACGGCACTGTTATTGCTTCTTCTCTCGCTGCCTATTATTGTTCCTTCTCCTCTCTTACCGCGAACTTGTAATATGATATATACGAGGCGTCCCTCGATGGAATATCGCATCGGAGCAATATCGCGATTACGTTAAATCGCCGATACGTGCTTTATCGAAGAACAACGTAACGCCTAAGCGTACCCTTTTTCCGCGCGATGCAAATCTGCCTCGAAAAAGCCAGCCCAGTTTTCCCGGAGTAGAGAAGAAACTCCTCGGCATTCCCTCGATCGCGCTCCGTATTCGGGACGGAGACAGCGGCGACGGCTTCCCGTGAAAAACAGAAACTGGGGCAAAGACTTCGCGATTTCGCGCATGAGATAGTATCGCGCACGGTTCGTTTACTCCGCGTCTGGAAATACGCGGGATACCGGCGTACGAGGGAATATCACATCCCAAAGCAGCGCACGATGAAATGAATACAAACAAACGTTTAACTTATCGCAACAAATAAACAAGAGAATACTGTGCGGGGTGGTACGGTAAGATGGCGAATAAAATAACAACGCCTCGATATCGCGGATAAACGAAACAGACCGGAGTAACAGTTTGATAGTTTCAACCCGAGATTTATCGCAATCTGCTCGCGGAAATGGCCGAATAGTGAAAATAAATTGACGTCAAACTTAAGACAGCAATAAGTTCGGTTAAGGTCAATGGATATGTCTTCCCTTTCTCCCTTATCTCGTTGGCTGATTGAATGCCATTATCATTTATCGGTGGAACGAAAGGGGTGAAAAGGGCAGACAGAGAAAAAAAGAGAGAGGAGAGAGAGGGAGAGAGAGAGAAAGGCGAGAAACCTGCTGCAGGCAACCTCGCTCGGAGAAGCCGCAAACTCAATGTTCGCAATGAAACGTAAGTAATTCCTCGCACCCTTCCGGCGACTCTCGTATTGAAGGCGTGGAAGTCGCTCGAGTTCGAGAGAATAAAACGACGGGAAGACATTGGGAGCTGGTAAAGAAAAGCGGTGAAGAAAAGAAAAATACTGTCCGCGCAGAATGCCGACTCCGGCCGGCCGTGGCGAATCACGACGGAGGGCGAGGGACGAACGGGGAGAGTGCAGCGGGGATATAAGGGGCAGGGTTGGAGGGGATTTTGGGGGGATTCCGGTCGTTTTCGGGGGGGAAATACAACGGGTCGAATCTGGCCGAGGCATTCGACCGTTCTTTGGACAACACACTATACAACGGTCGCCAAACCGAGCGGAGTCGCGAGACCGACCTCTATTGATTCCGCATTATTCCTTTGCCCGCTCTCGGGCAAGAATTGAACCCTTTAGATGCTATAGTTCGCCTCCACAGTTCCATCACTCGCCTTTGTGCCGTGTCCTTTCTCGCCTCTTGTTCTTGATTCCTATACCGCGCTTGTCCATTTTCCTCAGCCAGCCGTGTCTCCGACAGCTTCCGAGGCGCCTGACTTGACTGCACGAGATGGCATTTTTCATTACATTTAAATGACATTTAAATTTATTGTATCCCTTTTAGACGCGCGCTTTACTTACGATTCACTGAATAATTTAGCCAACTTGAGACACGATCGGGCTAACATTAAGGTTATTCGATCTCGCGAATACAATCCATACAATTTTGAGTAGCTATGAATATATTTTTTATCACTAATTATGATCGCATTTTGATCGCTCGAATAATTGAAATAGATTTACGAAGATATGTAATGCGAGAGGATATCTTCAGACAAGCTTTTTTCCGCAGCGACTATTACCGTCGTAAATTCAAAAAAGTTCTAATACCCGTACGTGCCGATACAGCTCCGCGAGCTCTCTCTCATCGAATACCCGGACAACCCAGCATTACGTAAGGGAAATATCTAAGGGATTACTCCGGCATAGCCCTCCCGTACGCGCAGAAATTTCTCCAACTACTGGTCTTAAGAAGGCACTCCACGGCAGCTTAGAAGGCTTCTTACCAGCGCACCGGCAAAGAAGAGAGATACACATATACACACATATTTGTACGGCCAATGTATACGCGCATCGTAGAAGTATAGCGCGTCGAGAGACTTTGATGAACATAATGAGCGGCTCAATGCCGCGAGCACGAGCGTTTTCCTTTAAGCTCGTGCTCGAGTGTTATTCTCGTTTCTGTTTTATAGCACGATGGATTCGATAACGCACCCCACAACAATTATTTCGCGAGAGAGAGAAGAGCAGGCAAATGCGAGGAAGAAGCGAATATGTCGATTGGCATCAGTAACGGCGTGTGGAAACGCGACGAGTTTCTTTGAAAGCGGCGAAAGACAGGCTTTTAACAAAATTATAACAGCATAACGCAGCAGTGTTGTTGCAAACGTAGCATAAGCGAACGAGTTTTTCTTGGAGACGAATCAACAATACTCAGTAGAGTATTTTCATTTTCATTAGCTATCTTAATTTAAAAATTTATTGTTGCACTGCAGAATTTATTAGAAAAAATATTTGCTATCAAAGCTAAATTGTCGCTATTGCTAACGTTGCAGCAACTGGCATCTGACATATTCGCGTAATTCTCTAACGACACAATACTATAATCGGTACTCACAAGTGGTCCTGCCGCTTGAACGCCTTGCCGCACATCGTGCACGCGTATTTCCTCTCGTCGCTGTGCGTCAGCTTGTGCTTCGTGAGCGCCGATGCGTTGTTGAACACCTTCCCGCAGACCTGCGACAGAGAAACAGCAGCGTTAGTAGTAGCGTTGACGAAAATTACAAATTACGGTGTCTGTCGAATTGCGGCGGTGCGTGATTACATGCATTCACCAATGAATAAGCTATCTCGTTCTCCTTCCATTACTGCGACAACGCAAAATCTCCATTGTATCCCGAGATATCTAAATTTCTTTTTCGCAAGTTTATTAGTGACACGTGTGAGGAAGAGTCGCGAGCGGGCTTTGTTTTAAAGCCGCGCGGCAAATTGGAGCGTGACGTGATTTTCAATTACCATACATGACCCTCGTAAAATAAACGTCGCTTTATGATAGACATTAGAACGGCGATATCAGGTGGCTATCGCGCGACACACACAAACACACACACACACACACACCAATCTCCCTTGCAAGCTTGTCGTGGCGCACAATTATTCCAGCATCACTGGCAAGAATAATTTTGCAATCTTCGTAACGAATACTCGTGTTTTTAGCAGTGTTGTGTTGTTCAAACAAAAATACTTCTTATTTGCTTGAGATATTTTATCAGTTTCGCTCAGTTCGTTTTTTTTTTTTTTTTCTAAAAGCAAAATTCTTTTAAAACATTCTACAAAATGTAATTGCAGTCTATTAAAATACACAAGCTTAATCAGATAAAATTCATCATCCTGAACAGTTGATATTACTCTGCGATATGGAAAGACGTTCATATCATTTTATCTCCAGAATTAAATTGGCCATTATCGCTCCCAAATATCAGAATGGAGCGACGGCAGCGAAAGCTGCGTGGCCGTTAATGCCACCTGATAAACGAGACCATTATCGTCCATCCTATTAAAGAATAAGGAATCGCCGTATCACTGCAGTTACTTCTACGTACGTAAAAATTACTCGCAGATTTAGCGCGGCGATCACATCGCACTCCGCCGGTCCCCGGTATGCGCCCGTTAAGTATGTGGAATTAGGTTTATTATACGCTTCCGGATGGCGCGCACTATTTCAGGAACTATTTCATGAAGCCAAAGACCGAGGAATTGAGCGCGCGGTCGATGTTCCACCCGAAAATCCGACGCCTCGTTCGAATGGACGATGACTTCGCCGTCGGAAAATCGTGCGAATTCCGTGGGGTTCGTGAGCGACAGGAACGATTAGCATTTCTAATAAATTCGCCCTGCTTCTTTCGTCGACGAGCCGCTCCGAATGCCGCGCATAATGCGACGAGGCAGCACCGCAAGTAGCATGAGCTAGTAGCACTAGTATTAAAATACTAACATAAACATAATAACGCTTCCATTATTATTCCACGAAATAATCTACAAATATGCAGAAAATTTACATAAAACAAATTAACGAAGTTTTCGATGAGATAAAAAGTCCATAACTTTTAAATATTGCCTTAAATTTTATTTCAATAATAATTAAATTGTGACTTCCACAAAAAGTACTGTTAATAAATCGTTTATTGCGAAAAAAAGAGTTTGCGCTGTAGTATTAAATATTTTAATAATTTATCTTCTTTGTTTTTTTTTTTTTTTCGATCACATAATTGATAGAAAGATTAAGTTCTTGCGACGCAAATCTCAGCATTCACGGGAAGAAAATGTTGAATAATCAGGCATATCTATCAGACCGTACTGTGCAAACACGATCAATAATGCGGAAAGTATAGGACACCGGCGGTGGCGACGGCGCGTTTGGCTAAACTCGCTCTAATGGCCTGCTTGAGAGGAATCCCACGATCGAGATTCGGAATATCACGTCTCGACGGCATCGGGGATTCGTCGTCACGTCGAAGGATTCGCGGTGTCGGCGGGCGCGGCATTAAGCCGAAATTAATTTCCAATGCACCTGCGCCCGTCGCCGCCGTTGTCAGCACGTGACGACGCGGGGAACGTGCGATGGCACGATTCCGGGCCTCCATTATCGGAAAAGTCTTTTCCGCTTCTCGTTTCGCTGTTATTTCCATTCGTCGCGATGATGCGCGGGGGCTACACGGAGCGCCGCTGGTGATTCCAGTAGAGCGAATAAACCGAAGTCGAAGTCGCGAAGAAATACCGTCGCTGCTCTGGATGACAAGTTTCTCTTTGCTTTGAAAATCTGCGCTTGTTGAGAGAAACAAGATGTAAACAACAACGTATTTTTTTTTT